GCATAGGGTGGTCCTGAGGTTGTGGGAGGGGAATGAAATCACCAGGGGGCGAGGTCTAGAGAGAGGGGGAACCCAAGGACTGAATGGTGAGACCCTCATGTATAGGGATGGAGGCAATGGTCAGAGGGACTGGAGGAGATTCATAAAATTTACTATCAAGGAAGCCAAAAGGGAGATCTGAAATGACTGTTGTTCAAAGGATGAAGTAATCCGTAGCCTACGTTAGTCGCCCTCCCACTGGCCCCCCAATGGTGCTGTCATTACATTTTGTACTTGGTCTTCAAAGCACTTACCACACTTGTGATTAATCAATGTGATCATCTGTTCAGGGTCCACCTCCCCCCTCTGAACTGTGAGCTCTGTGGAGGCAGGGACCATGCCATTCTCATACTCTTCTATCTCCAGCATCAGGCATGGTGTTTATCACATAATGGTGTTGGTACCCCAAGTTGTTGCTGTTTCCTGGCAGGACTCCAGCTGTTCACACTCCCTGCCCCTCTCCCCCGGTGCAAATTGGGAGAAGAGGGACTTAGGACCCCGCGGAGAGAATTCAAGCTGCTCATTTCAAGTTTTGGGTGCAGCAAGTGTGAGTGGGTGGCCAAAAGTGGGTCATCCAAACTCCCATTTATTTGTACATTACAGTAGTCAGCTACAGTTGGTGCCCAAAGCTTATAGGACTCAAACTGCAAGCCTCTCCAATGGGGCATTGTGAGAACCGTGGACAATGTAGCTTCTCCTTTGCTCCCCTTAACCATCCCTTTGGAGAGCATGCCCTTCCCCATGCCTGCACTCATTGTGCAGCAGCTCTTCTTATCACCACATTCATGAAGGGAATGGTGTTCCCATCATGATGCTGGAACCTACCTGTGCAAAGATTTTTGAACTTCAACTTCCTTAGGATGCCGGTCAAGGCAGGTGTCTTAAGTCACATTTCCCCCAAAAAGTACCCTGAGATGAGATTTGTGTGCAGGTGACGGAAGTGCCCCCACAGGAGACCGGGGAAGCAGGAAGCATGCAGGGATGTGGGATCGAGGGCAGCTCCAGCCCCCCCCACCTCATAGGGTTCCTCTGGAGCGCATGTTATGCCTCAGAGTTGTTCTGACCTGAGGTAAAGGACCTGAGTTGAGGGTTCATTCTCCTTTTCCATTTAGGCTTTGATTAAGGGGATCACGGATCATAAACCCCCAGGCACTTCTGCCTCTCTCTGTGTGGGGGCAACGTGGGCTCAGTAGCCAAAGGAAGACTGAGAAACAAACAAAAAGTTGGCAGGTAGAGGCTTTCAGAAGCCCTGTTTGGTGGTGGGGCTCACAGGAGTGGGAAGAAGGGAGATCTGTGAGGTGTGGGTGGAGTGTCAGCAATGTCTGCTACAGCAGGTCTTGCCCGGGTCTTTTTCTGGGACCCGAAGGACCCAAAGCAGAGGCTGAAGCTCCCCTCTGTCTTCCATTCACTTGCGCTTTATCAGTGGAGACCAGCACTTAGAAGCACATTTCACATCCTCATGAAGGCTTCCCACCAGACCAGAAGGCACCCAGTAGATGTTCACTGAGTTGGAAGCACCACAGTTCAGGAGTGGGGGCTGAGATGAGGCCGTTGTATTTGGTCACGAGCAGCCGTTGGAGACTGGTTTAGGAAGCGAATGCCACTGCGCATCTACCACTATTCTATTCGCATCTACCACTGCGAATGCAGTGGAAGCCAGACTGCGAGAAACGACAGCGTGTGGTTGTCTCTGTGCTCGGAAGGAGTTTGTTGGTTGAAGGCGGTGGTGGAAGAACCGAGGCCTTGAGCAGACTTGCAGGAGGAGTGGAAAGAAGCAGAAGATGGAGAGGTGGCAGATTCAAGGCCCAGAGAGGACAAATGGGAGGAGTTCCTTGTGCGAGTGGGAGGAGGTGGGATGGGAACAGGTGGCAGATCAGCCTTGGCCAAGAGAAGGGTTACCCTCTTACTCCGAGAGCGCGGGGGAGGGTTGAGGGGCTTGCTGCAAGGTCTGAGGACGGTGCAAGTTGGAAGTGAGAAGGAGCAAGTCAAAGAGACACATCTTTTCAGCCAAGTGGGGGAAAGGTCATTGGTTGGGGTGACAGGGTGATGGGGTAGGGAGTGTGAAAGCGTTGGTACAGTCATTTTGGGGACCTTGACTGAGTCCGCAAGAGATGGCCAGTGGAGGATCGGATGGCTGAGGGTAGATGGTGGACCTTGTTGGTGTGGTTGGGCACCACAGTGGGGACTCCCGTGGTGGGGAAGGTGGCATGTTGGGGAAAATTTTGCAAGATAGTTGGTGTGAGCAAATTTGGGGAGTGTTGAGAGGTCTTACTCTGCAGTCACTGTGGCTACTTCTGTTTCGCATCTACCACGTGCCGGGCTCTGTGGCAGATGTCCAACAGTTCCATGGGGTCGGTGCTACCTGACTTGCCCAAGGTCGGGCCACCAGTGGTTGCAGAGCTGGAACTCTGTGCCTGCCCTGACTGATTGCAACACCAGCCTCACCTGAGGCCCATATAGGGTATTTGGATGTGAAATGCTTTGGTGCTGCAGAATGCCACACAGATGTGAAGCACACCTTTCCAAACCTCCTCCTTAGCCCCCTTGGGGACTGAGTTGCGTCATGCTTTGGTTCTCCCTCTTCCAGGAGAAATGTGTCAGACCCTGGTGGGCGGGGACAAACCAGTGTGAGTCTCTAGAACAGGGTTCTGTGGGGAGGTAGAAAGCCCAGGCAGGTGTCTGCAGCCTGCCTGCAGGGTGCCAGGTTCTGGGTTTGTATCCCCAGTGTGGGGGAGCGGGGTTTGTCCCTGGACCTGTGTCTGCACTGTGTGTGTGGGAGTTGGGGGACGTCTCTCTGTGCTTGTGAGTCTGTGCTTCTCAGTGAGCATGTGCGTGGTTTTGAATCTTACTCTGTCTTAGCACCTGCTGCACACAGAGGCACATAGAAGTGGTTGGGTGGGTTGCAGATACAGCTTAGGGAAAGAACAAATGGTGGGATGAAGGGAAGCAGAGAGACGGGGACACACGTGTTCCCCCACGTGTTCAGAAACACCCAGGTGACACACACACAAAGAAATGCAGTGTCTGTTTCTCTGTGTGCTTTCTTGAGTGGGTTGGCATATACTTCTTATGGATGTGTATCTGTGTGTATGACTGGCACGTACCCAGTTAGCCTCCGAAACACAGAATGATAGGTATATGGAGACTCGTGGAAACACACAAATAAAAACGCTCAGACATACATTAGCGTACTCTGTGTCTTAGCATGTATATTCCTGCGTGTTTCTGTGTTACCGTGTTTTTTTCTGAGTGTGAACATCTGTGTGCCTGAATAATGCAGATACATGTGGGAGACAAACGTGGGCACACACTCTGAGAAACACACACACAATGTGTGTGTGTTTGTGTGTGTTTCAAAGTCAGGGAGGGAAGGAGGAGGGAGGCCAGGAGGACAATGGGAGGGTCCTGGTCTCGCTCTGCCTCCTGGCACGCAGACCCAGGTCCCCTTACCTCTTGGGGAGCAGGATGATGGGATTTGGCTGACGCTGCTTTGCTCCAGTGGGTTGGCCAGCCAGCACTGAGGAAGACCCTGAGGTATATGAGTTCATCCCAGACTTCTTAGAGGCATGGGGAAGATCCCCCTAAAGGTCTACCCCACCTCTAGTACACCCGCAGTCCGTGCAGGGTGGCAGGAGATGTAAAACTCACCCTGATCACCAGGCTGTGGAGCAAGGAGCAGAGAGACCCTCCTGGGGTCAACTCCTGGTGCCATCATTCCCCCCCCTCCCCTTCCTGGCTCTATGGGTGTGGACAAGTGGCTCAACCTCTGTGTTTTATGTCCTTGATGCACTTGAGTCTGGGAGAACAGACTCATCTACCTCATGGGGGGTTGAGGATTAAGACCACTCTCAGGGCAGACATCCGTTCATCCAGCAGTTATTAATTGAGCACCTACTATGGCTGGACCCTCTTCTCGGCCCTGGGGCTTCAGTAGTCACCAAAGCTAAGTACCGTGTCCTGAGTTCACCTGCTATGGGGAGGAAGCTGGTCAATAAACCGGTAATGCCATAAACATGTCTGGGGTGGTGTTGGGAAGAAAGCCAGAGCAGGGTGATAGGACAGAGAGGGGCAGGGGGCGGTAGGGGCCAGAGAATGGTCAAGGAAGGCCTTGGCTAAGATGACGTTTGATCACAGAGTGGAAGCAAAGGAGTGAGCTACTGGCAGAGGAGAGGGTGTTTGAGGGGAGGGAATAGCAAGGGCAGAGGGCCATTTGTTATAAGTCTGTTGTTCTCCCATTTTACAGTTGAGGAAATGGAGGCACAGAGAGGCTGAGTGATTTGCCCGAAGTCTCACAGCCAGTGAGAAAGAGATCCACATTTGAACGTGGGCAGTCTGGTTTCAGAGCCATTGGTCGAATTGGTGGTCCTCAATCAGGGGTGACTCACTCCCCCCACCCCAGGGGATATTTGGCAATGTCTGGAGACATTTCTTGATTGCCACACTGGACCGGAGGGTGCTACTAGCATCTAATAGGTAGAGGCCAGGGATACTGATAGAACTTCCACAATGCACAGGACGCCCCCGACAACTCAGCGGGATCCCGTCTAAACTGCCAGTTGTTGCTGAGGTGGGGAAAACCTGGCCGAGATCCATGCAAAGCACTCAACAGAGTGTGACACATAGTAGGTGCTCAGTAAAGAGTAACTGAAGAGGAGGAGGAGAAATGATCTGTAGAGAGTTGCAGGGGAGTGTTGAATTCAATGGGGAGAAAAGAGACCTGTAAATGAATCCGTCTGTTAACAGGACTCCTGTGATGCTGCTTGGTGGGTGGGTATGAAGGGCAGGGCCACCCCAGGGAGGGGGTACAAGTGAGGCAGGTGGTAGGAGGAGTTTGGTGGACTGGAGGGGGCGGGGCGACGCTGGGCAGCCACCAGCCATGGTACCACTAACCAGATGACTTGTCTCTCTGTCCCTTCCCGCCCTGTGTCTCTCTCCCCATCTCTCTTGGCCTCTCTGCCCAGAAGGGGATAGCCGGAGGCTGAAGGGGGCCATCCAGAGGAGCACGGAGACCGGCCTGGCAGTGGAGATGCCCAGCCGGACCCTGCGCCAGGCCAGCCACGAGTCCATTGAGGACAGCATGAATAGCTACGGCTCGGAGGGCAAGTGAGTGTGGGGCCCGGCCCGCTGCCAGCCCTCCTGGCTCTCGCAGCCCCTGTGCTGTGGGGTGGGAGGGGCTGAGCAGCGCTGGCCCGGAGGCTGGGCTCAGCCTCAGGCCGGGCAGGGCATTGGCTCAGCGCTGCGGGTCGTGCAGAGGGAGGTGGTAGGGCAAGCAAGCTCCAAGGGTGATGCAGAGCAGTGCGGGGCAGACTCCGGTGCCTGACGGCCCACGGGCTGCACCATCTTGGGCACATCCCTTCTCCGAGCCTCAGTTTTCCCATCTGTAAAACCGGGTAATAGGGGCAGCCTCAGAGGGGCGTTGTGAGGATTCGGTGGGTTTCTATTTACAGAGAGCAGAGGACAGTGTTGGCACGTGAGTGCCGTATGTCAGTGTTGGCAAATAAAGAAGGGGGTCGAGATGGGTTTTATCAGGATGTTACTCTTTCCCCTTGACTTTCTTAGATTCTTAAATCATGATTGGTTTTTAAAAATACATAATTAATACTGCTTGATAAGGGGTTTCACACATGTCAAACCATAAAATATTAGGTCTGACCGCCTCCTCACCAGCATTCTCTCTCCCCTGACTGTACGTCAGCATCACTGGGTTCTTGTTCCCACTCCAGATTGCAGGCCCTGTGCCCTGAGTCAGAGTCTCTGGGAGTGGAGCTCGGAACTCCATTTTTTAAAGGTTCCCTGAGAGAAGACTACTCCAGACTGGGGGGATCTCATCTTTGTAGCAATTATGGACCTCTTTGAGAATTTTGGGCAAGTTTTGGGCCTGCTTTCCCCTGAGAAATATGTGCACATACACCCTAACACACACACAGTCCCACACATTCTCACACACATACACACACAGTCATACAAACATACTCTTTTCATAATTAGAGCGGGTTCCCAGATTCCCCTGGAGCCCATCCATGGATCCCTAGCAAAGAAACTTTGCTCCCAAGTGACATTCTTATTGTACAGATGACCAGGGCACTCAGAGAGGTTGGGGAGCTTGTCCTGGATCACAGAGCACGTTAATGGGTCTGGAACTTAGGAGTCCTGACTCCCAGTGGGGGCTCATTCCGTGGCAACGTGTCGCTCCCTTGTCTTGGCCATCCTCAGCCAGGGGTATGGGGGTTCTCGTCACCCTCATTAGAACACTGGGGCTTGGGGAGGTTAAAGCGGTGCTGTCCAGTACAGTGGATGCTAGGCACGTGGCTATTTAAATTAATTTAAATGGAATAAAATGAAATATTCTGTTTTTCCATCGCACTGGCCATATTCCAAGTGTCCAGTGACAACTCTTTGGGACAGTGCAGGTATAGAGCATCTCTGCCCTCGCAGACAGTTCCTTTGGGCAGCACTGGCTAAGTGGCTCGTCCGGGGGCAGACACCGGGGCACGGCTGGGGCTTGGCCACCACCTTCTGCTCTTCTCCCGTTTCTGGCACTGCCTCCCAGCTGGGGGTTCCTGCTGGCTGGAAGCCCTCCCACCCCCAGCCCCTCCTAAACTGGGCATCTCCGGCCTCTGTGAATGGCCTTGCCTTGGCAGATGCTGCTGTCCCACCCACCTCCTCGGGAGGCTTTCCGGAGGGCGAGAAGGGGAGGGGGACAGGCGGAAGGCAGAGGAAGAGGAGGAGGAGGAAGGGAACAACTGTTTTCTTTAGCCTGAGAAACTTGGCAAGGCAGCAACACTTGGAGGAAGGTATTGTAGGCATCGGGGTAGCAGTGGGTCTCTGCTGAGTTCCAGAGGGTCAGGAGGTTTGGGGCCTAGTCCTGGCTCTGCCACTGACCCCCAGATGGCCTTGGGCACATCTCTTGGCCTCTTAAGCTCCAGGAGGCTGGCCAACATCTTGTCTGTTGGTCTCTCAGGCAGCTCAGGGGGAGGGCAGCGTGGTGCAGGGAGCAAGAGCAGGGAGTCAAACCCAGAGCCCCATTTTACAGAAGGCTCAGAGATGCCACGTGACTTGTCCAGGGAGAGCAGCACAGGAGGGTGTCGTGAAGGAGAAATGAGCTGATGCCTGCACGTGACAGGTGCTTGGGAGGTGGCTCTTGTCATTTGTTGTAATGTGCTTTAAGGGACCAGAGAGTCTGAGTTAGATTCCAGGCCAGGACCCTGGAGTCAGACAGGCCTGGTTTGTGCCTCATTTCTGCTTCTTAGTAGCTGTGTGACTTTGGGGAAGTTACTTTACCTCTGTAAGCCCAGTTTCCTCATCTATGGAAAGGGGACAATAATAGCACACCGAGACTACTCTTAGAGTTGTTGTATGGATTACATGAATTAATATATGTACGAGCGCTTAGGACTGTGGCTGGCACGTAGCATGCCCTATTATTCTGTTATTACTGGCTTTGATTGTTGTTGTTTGTTGTTGATTCAGCCCCTGTTAGTTGGGTATTTTGCTCCTTGTGGCCATTTGCGTCTTACTGGACACAGGGAGCCACCCCCGATGCAATCTGTAAAGTACTTAGCACAGAGCAAGCACGGGATTGATGTTGGCTGTGACATTTGTGATTATCAAAAGGTTTGGGGTGCATATCTTGAGCCCAGCTGAGGAAGGATCGGGTGGGTTGGAGGGTGCTGGTTCCAGCAGAGGGGAGAGTCTTGCCCTCTGGAGAGGGTCTGGAGTATTGATGGAGCCCAGCCGGGTTCCTCCACTCCACCTAACACCTGGGCAAGGGAGGGGCATAGAAAGGACTGGGAGGACGTGGAGCTGTGGTCGGCCCTCTCCTTGTTCTGGAGGTATTTTGGGCACTGGTAGGACCCAGATGCCAGGCTCTGAAATAGGAGGGGGTGTGACTGTCCTCCCCTTGGGCTCCTGCCAGCCCAGCTGAGGCTTACGAGGAGCCAGCATGCAGCCCCCGCGAGCCCGCAGCCCCTGGCACTGCTGGATCTGTCTGCCCGTGCCCTGGATCACTGGCATGTGTATTCCTGCAACTGGGCATGGGGGTTTTTCTTTCAGCAAACATGATCGAGTACCTACAGTGTGCTAGACAATTGGATGGGGCACCTGGGAGCCCCAGCGTTGCACTGACTGAGCAGCTCATAGTGAGGTGAGAGCTGCTAAGGACAGGCATAGAGAACTTTGGAAATACTGCATCCTCACCAGGTCTCTGGGCTGGGGAAGGGCTGCATATGGGTGGGGCCATTCTGTCAGTGAAGATCCATGGGCTCCAGACTGCCTCATATTAGCTGACAGTGACATCAGCCCTTGCTGTTCCAAGTGTGGCCCCGGCATCCCCTGGGGGCTGGTTAGAAATGCAGTGTCGGCATCCCCTGGGGGCTTGTTAGAAATGCAGTGTTGGCATCCCCTGGGGGCTTGTTAGAAATGCAATGGCTCCACCCCAGACCTACTGCATCCGAATCTGAAGCTTTACAAGCTCTCTGGGTGGTCCGTGTGCACATGGAGGTTGAGAGGCCCTGGCCCGGTGGGAATAATGTTCTAGAGCTAAGCCTTATAGAGCCCTTGCTACGGGCAGGCACCGTGCAAAGCGCTTTTATATATATTGGCCCATTTAATCCTCACAGCAACCCGATGACGCTGAGCCTGTGAATGTCCCCATTTTACGGACGAGGACACAGAAGCCAAAAGAGGTTAATTAACTTGCCCAAGGTCACTAACTTCAAATGCCAGGCTTCAAATCTGGGCCTTGGAATCTGCCCTTCACCTTTACACTTGATTCTTTCCCTCATTTAATGGTTGCGTCCATCAAGATTTCGGTAGGTAGACGCTTCCAGCGTGGTGTGGTGGCTAGGTGAGTCCCTTCAGCTTTTCCCTCCCTAGATCTCAGCAGGTGGGACCGGTCCTGGTGTGTCTCCTGGGGCTGGGGAAGGGCCTTCCATTCCTGAGCCCCTTTCTGCCTGGTTGAAAATTGGAGTTCTCTGTGTTAAGGATGGAAGGAAACAGCTGCGGGTTTGGCAGAGCCGAGCCACTCCTCACTCTTGCCTGGATGCACGCAAGCCTCCCTTTTGGTCGAAACTCCAGTCTGTCACTCAGCACGCACTTCCGCTGACCCCTGCCAACCTGCCCCAGGCCCCGGCCACGTGCCCCCAGCTCCAGCGCCCTGAGCCTCTCACACTCCCTTCCATCTCCCCTGCAGGTCTTCGTTTCCTCTACCTGGCACTGCCCTTCCCACCTCTCCTCCCTCTCCACCCTCTGACTCATTCCTCTTCCAGATCTCAGCTCAGAACTGGCACGTAGGCTTCATCTCCTGTGCCAACACCAGTTAATTGATAGTAGCTCCCTGGGCTGCTGTGTGGAGAAGGATTCTGGAGCCTCGTCCAGCCTTGGCAGGGGTGTGGAGGTTGATTAGCAATGTCTGCCCGGGTGTGGGCAGACGAGGGGGAACGGTAAGGGCTGCGAATCCTCTGGCTGCATCAGCGGCTTCCGCGGCCTGTTCTGCCCTCCACAGCACCCTCCCCTCGGTCGTGATGGTCATGGGTATGTCTGTCTGTCCCACTAGGCACCAAGTTCAGTGCCTGCCCAGCCTAGGACCTGGCCTACAGGTGATATTTTGCAAATTTTGGTGGATAATGGGTAGGTGCTATGAGCAGAAGCACCCCCACATCCACTCCTTCCTGCCCTTCCTCAGCCTCCATCATGCAGAATCAGGGCCCCAGCATCCTCTCTGGGTGCCAGAAGCTCTTGTAGCCAGCTCCCACAGCCCCTTCTGCTCCTTCCTTCTGTCCCTTGTCCTGAGGTGTCTGGGTCATCAACATCCAGTTCCCTGGGCGTCTGGGTCACTGTGCCCACAGCCCTGGAAAGCAGGGTGTGGGAGCTGGTGCGTGACCACTGCACCTGGGCTCGGGGTCACGTTTTTGCCAAGGCTGTTTCCCTAATCACCAAAGGCCCCGGAGGCCTGGTGGGTGGCTGGGACCCCCTTTCTCTTGCCCACCTCTGCTCTGTAATGGTCCATACCTGAAGGACAGCCTGCGACTGCATGTGGCTCTGGGCTAGGAGACCCCGGGGGGGTGGGGGTCCGTTTTGTAAGCACTCGTATTTATGGTACATTT